CTTCCATCTTTAATTGAACCCACTCTTTAGGCATATAGGCTCCATCTCCCCCATGCCTATTATGATATTCTTTGTGAAGTTTCCTCTTAAAATACTTCTTACAGTTGTAGCCTATCATAATCCTATCCAAATCCTACTCTTAAATCCTATTCTTAGAATCTTCTTCTTCCAATTTATCCACTAAGTCTTTGGACTTACCTTTTATATTTGCATCTTCTTTTATTTCAAATACACCTATTATTGTCTTCTTGACAATGGTAGGCAGACTATGCCAAGTTTACTGTAGTTATTTGATATATAGATAGCTCTATGTCATATATTTCATACATATATGAGGCTAAGTCAACCTAAGTTCAGCCTTTGTTGAATTTTACTGTCACCTCACTGCTTCCATTGGTGTTTCAGTCTCAGAGGCTCAAACACGAGGACTATACAAAAATCTTCTCATTTTAGAAAATTAAGATAGTGAAAGCTGACATGGACCAGCAGGAGAGAAGCTCACTGCTCAGCCTTTCCAAACTCGCATCAAAACTTTCCGAATGGTCTTAAAAAGATTTTCTATATTCAGACCCAGGACCATGACTTCATTGTTACTCACCTTAGAAGCATCATAAATGACATCAGCTTTGGCATTAATCCAATTTTACCATTAACTTTCTCCATAAAATTTGATTAAGAGGTATGGCAAGGCTTTTGTAATTAAGGAGAGTGCACTGGGAAATTGTTTTCTGTCCACGGTTTGTCATACTCTGACTGGTGCTGGAATTCACTGACTACCTGTTAAGTGAAATATCGGGCCGAACAGCCTTTTATCTGATGAAGAATTCCTAACATGGTTTTCATCTCAAGTCTCAACTTTCATCCTCAGCAGTAATTGAGTTTTCAAATTTCTTGGCTGCGCATATAGGAATGTTGAAGTAGCTAAGTCGTTCCTGGTGATCTTCTTTGGATCTCTTCAGGAATCAGTGTACTTTACAATAAATACATTATTAACTCTTATTAATAGTAGTTGTTGATTAACTTCCATAGCCATGCATTGCTGATTCTTCATAATTATTCATTTTCCTTCCATCATGGATTAGAAAGAGTTAAGTACAGGCACACATCTTCATGAGTCAAATGTTCAACTCCGAATCTGCAGGGACTTTTATCTGGTGAGAGTGTCTTGAGTCGTGAAGTTTTGATGATAGCTGATTTTCTTGGTCAGTTCTACTATATGGCAGTTAGTCAAGTTTCTAGATGGTGTTATTTGATGTGTGCCGCATTTGCAATCTCTAACTTACTTTGCCTGAACTTCATCAGCTATGTGTTATTGCTTTAAATATTTTGCTGCATTGATATTTGGAGATTTCTGTAAAGTCACTCTGAAGTGAATTTAGTAGATTTAGACCATTATGATTTAACCTGCTTTTAAGAGGCTGAGTCAGGATCAACTTTTTTTTTTTCACTCTCTCTTTTCTAATGTTACTGGGGATTGAAGCCAAGCTAGCATTATGCATGCCAGGATAGGCAAGTATTCTACCACTGGACTACAACCCAGCCAGAATGGGTTTTGTTTGTTTGTTTGTTTGTTCAAAGAAAACACTCTCTTGGAAAGAAGGAAGAGGGCAGCCATGGCGTTAGCATTTTTCCCTAAGAAGGAAGAGGGCATCCATGGTGCTGGCACCCCCCCCCCCACCAAGAAGGAAGAGAGCAGCCATGGTGCTGGCACCGTCCCCTAAGAAGGAAGAGGGCAGCCACAGCACTGACATCTTCCCCCCAGAGCTGTTCCTCTTAGACAGCACTAATCGTTTGTGGACTGCTCTGATAGAACACATTCTCCTAGCTGACTTGAGATTCAGGAGACCTCCACTTTCCACAATCGATGCACTTGGCTGAGCCATTTAGAGGACAGATTCTTTAATCTAAAAGCAGTTCTTTCCTTTTTTAGGTCAAACCTTTATTTGTGTAGTGACAAGAGGATTATCTAGATTTCAAATCCATGACTTAATTTTTATTTTTTAAGATGTTAGTTTAAGTAATAAACAAAATAGCTGCAATCTATTTTAGGTGGCCTCAGGGAAAGAAGGATAACGTTGGTCTTAATTTTATCTTTTTAAAAAGATTTTATTTTTACTCATGTATATAAGTTTGTGACTATGTGTGGGTATATGCACATGAGTCCAGGTGGTTGAGGAGGCCAGAAGAAGTTGTGAGATTCCTGGAGCTGGGGATACAGGCAGGTGCAAGCTGCTAATATGAAAGAGAGAGAGAGAGAGAGAGAGAGAGAGAGAGAGAGAGAGAGAGAGAGAGAGAGAGAGAGAGATCTGTGCATGTGTGAATGCACATGCAAAAGCACACGCGGATTTCAGAGGGTAGCTTTGTGGAGTCAGTTCTCTCTGTTCATCTTCATATGGGTTCTGGGAATTGAACTCATATAGTCAGTCTTACTTGGCAAGTACGCTTACCTGTTGAGTGATCTTGCTTGTCCAAGTCTATCTTTTCATATAACTAAAACCCCTCTAAGAAATCCTGACTACTGTGTGCACTTTTAGTCACTGTCATCAATTAGACAACTTCCATTTGCACATCATAAAAACATGCACTTCATACACCAACACTATGCCACCTACACAATGATGACATTGGGGCCCTGAGTCTAGGCAGTTTGCCCTTGAGCTTTGGTTCTTTCCTTCATCGCATCATGCCTTCTGCCCAGGCACATTGGAGGAAAGGCATTCTTGGTCAGGGAGGGGATCTGCCTTGGTGGCAGCACATCTGTTCTAAGTTGTAGTTTTCCTAGATCAACAGTGAGGACAGAAAATGTCTAAGTCACAGCTGATTTCAAGGTATTATCTGTTTCTGTGGCCACAATGGACCTGAAGTGGAAATCATGAGTTAGAAGCTCTCCCTCTGACCTGATGTGCTCTGGGGCTCACAGAAAGGGCTAGGGCAGGTTTTGCAGGGTGGTGCCAGGTCACATAGGCAACTCTATGTGAAATTTCAGAGCCAGCTTCATCAGTTGGAACCAGGAATCAAAAACACATCTGTTTCTCAGGGAAGGATAAAACTCTGCTGCCCACCCTGTTTGAGACTGTCACTCAGGTGATATTAGATCTGAAGATGACAGAGGCAAGCAGAGCCACCACACTAGGAACTAATCACTCACTGGGTCTACGATATGACTATCTCGTCTTCTCAACGTCTGTAAGATGGAAGCCAGAAATGTGGATCTTGGCACAAAATGACTTTGGAGTTATTTAAGAAAGAAACGTAATAATTCAGTTATATAAAAATAAAAATCCCTAAATTTAAAATATTTTCACTTCAAGTAAAAGTACATATAATTCCATAGGTCATGAAAAAACATAACTCTAAGAAAGAGAGTCAGAAAAATGGCCACTGAAAATAAATATGTCCTAGAACAATGGTTCTAAATCTTCCCAATGCTGCGACTCTTTAATACAGTTCCTCATGCTGTAACCTTATATGATAAAATTGTTTTTATTGCTATGTCATAACTGTAATTTTCCAACTGTTTTTAAATAATAATGTAATTATCTAATATGCAGGATATCTGTTATGTGACCCCAAAGGGTTGCAACCCACAAGTTGAGAACCACTATTCTAGAACCATTTGGTTCATCAAAGCAACCTAGAAAAATATGCCTGGGATTCTGAAAGAATGACAAAAGGATATCAGCCACAAAGGCTGTAAACATGGATGTGGAAAATGAGAACGCCTCTTCTCTGGCACCTCTGGCTGCAGCCAGTATTGTGATGGCAGCCGCACTTGTGAGCTTAGTCCAGAGGTGTTCTAGGGAAAGAGCCATCATCGGCACAGGCAGAAGAACAGAGGAGAGTGTACTATAGGAGGATGGCTTTGACCATCTTTGTGATACTTTATTTACGTAAAGGTGAAACAAAGGACAAAATGCCACAGTTTGTCAAGGCATGGTAGTGTGTCTGTGGGTTTTCATATTATACTAAATATGGCCTTGTATTGCATTCCTAACACCTGAAGGGTTGGGCATAGTGATACGTGGATGAAACAGCCAGGTCAGTCGCTGGCAATGCATCAAGCTGTATGCTCACATCCATTCAGTGGCTCTCAACTTCTCATCAGGACCCACAGGTCCCATCTACCCAGTCTGTCCTTTCTTGTCTTGTGGCTGTATCTCTACCCCTAGATCAGCCCCTGATTTTTCCCCTCACAGGATCCAAGCTTTATTTCCTTTTTCTTTGGGAGCCTTTTGGATGACTGCTCTCTCCTCCAAGAAATCTAGGGGAAAGTTTAAATGATGTCTTTGATTTTGCTCTTGGTTTAGTGGTGGTAGTGCAAACTGACTCCTTGGCTCCACGGCATCTTCCTGGCAGTTGAGTGGTAACTGTGGACTATGTCATTGTAATACAGTCCTAGGCTAGACACTGCCTGGTGTTGGGTCATCCTTGTATTCATGGCAGCATATTTGCTCATGACACTCCTTACAGGTGCTGTCTGCCAATAAATCTCAGGAGGTCAGACGGAATTCTAGTGAGCAATAACCAGCTTTTGGTATTATATTGATTATATGTAATTCCTTTAAAAGAGAAGCTTAATCAGATTTTAGGAAAGAAGAAACTAATTCTCAATAAGAATAAATGTAATTGTCATTTTGGAAGTTGCTCTTGTCTAATCTAGTTTGTAAAACCTCATTGGTCCATGGTGCTTTATTTTAAAAAGTAGACAACAAATGAGGCTGCTACTAATTATGGGAGTAGCACTAAGGGGAAGGGGTGCCTGTGGGCCCCAGTCTACATGGGGAGGTTAGAGGACAATTTCCAGAAGTAGTTTTTCTCCTGTGAACCATCCTAACAAAAAATGAATAGCCGTTCCCTTTGCATAGCCCTGACCAACCCTGTCACCAGGGACTTTGCTCATTTACTGATCTTTAAACAGCAGTTTTTGGAAATCAAACATCTTCATGTATTTTATGTTCTTTGTTTTCTAACAAAATACGGTTTTCTTTGGACTCTTTCAGGGCATTCTACTTGGACAAGTCAAATTCACCGCCAAACGCCACATCCAAAGCTGCTTATGTTGATAAGGTAAGATGGCGATTGCGTTTATTGGTGCAGTGTTGCCCACCTGCCTCCCTTTTAGTCTTTCTGTTTCCCTCTTGAGCAATGCCTGATTCTAGAGATTCACAGTGCCCAATGTGTTGCCTCCATCAAAGATGGTGTTTTACCTCGGTCATCTAAATGCTGGGACAGCTGAACTGCATGCCATCTGAAAAGACATCTGAGAGTATTGAACTCTGTGTGTTTCACTTTCCTTTTAGCTCATGAGGCCCCTGAATGCGTTAGACGAGCTCTACCGGCTGGTCACCTCGTTTATCAGATCCAAACGCATCGCTGCCTGTGTGAACACGCCTTGCGGGGCCTCCGGAGTCGGTCTGCTGTCGGTGTCCTCGGAGCTGTGCGACAGGCTCGGAGCCTGTCACATCATCATGTGCAGCAGTGGTGTGCACAGGTATGTGACATCTTTGCCCGGTTGACATTGTTCTTGTCCCATAGTTAATGTGACTGGGCTAAAACTAGAGATGTTCAAGGACTCAGGTGTGTTTGGGGTACAATTTGAGATTTTTCTGGGTTGGATTCTTGTGGTTTTAGTAACTGTAGATAAACCAATTGATGTAACCCCCTATTTGTACCAGGATAGCTCAGATTTGTATTCCTCTCATGTTTATATCACCATATTAGTATTTTAGGTACAAAATGTGTGTCTTTCTTATTCACTGTAGGAATTCCCGTAGTTGGAGTTGAACTCAAATAACTGAACACCACTTTCCTTAGTTCCTCACTTCCTCACATCCTTAGAGCCAGAGTGTCCTGAGACTGATGTTCCTTGGACTTGATACTGCTTTCCTCCAATGGTCAGCCAAGTGATGGTCCAGGACCTTACATGATACAGTCAACGCTTCATGATAAATCCTGCCAGCTGTGCTGTCTGGAGCAGCCAAGGCGGGTGCATCAGACTCACCCTCCCATGGGAGTGAGCATCCTCGCTCAAGTCCCACTTCATCATTGCCCAGGCCTCTCTTTTATTGTGGAAGTGAAGCCTTACAGATGCTAATGATAAGGTAGAATTGTAGTCTTCCCTTTAATCTGAATAGAAAGCTTGACTGTGCACGGGATATACTTTCTTTGTACTAGGTCATTGAAGGTCATGGTTACTTATTTATTCACCTTTATTTGATCTTTACTCCACGCAAAGTGCTATAATTGGTGCTGTGTAACATCATACAGGGAAGATGTTTATTTTGGAGACAAGTATGAGTAGCAAATGGGGCATTAAAATTAGTAATACTAACAAGGATGAAAACACAATAAAAACTACCGTGTAAGAAAACTATAACTTAGGAAATCCAAAACTAATGAGTAGGATTTGGAGGGGAATCCATCTTTCAGAACGTCAGGTCTGGAGCATTCCATGGAGCTGATGTTGAACTGGGATTAGAGCACAGAAAAGGGAGAAATGCCATTCAAGGCAGCAGCCTCTGCAGTCTGTGTCATTTCATCTTAATGGGATATGACCAGGGTCTAGCTTTGAAGCCCAGTATAGCATGATCTTAAGTTTGAAATATGAGTCAGTTTCTCAAGGCATATTCTATAATCTTTTTACTACCAGAGAAATAATTTTTTGGTAACTTCCTGTCAATTCAGGCTATACCCATCATTCATTCATGATTTGACCTATGTGTGTTCACTGAGCACTGGTTGGGTGTCCACATTGCTGGGTTTACTGTATTAAAGAAATATATCGATTTGCATATAGTGTACATTGCACTGTGGGAAATGAATGATGAAGAAAACAAATAAGTACGCTGTGCTACAGGTGGAGTAACACCAAAGAATTGGAAGCCAGAGTCAGCATAAGTCAGCATAAGACAAGTGTGTGCTTTCTGAGTGCTAGGCAGGTCTTACACGACACAGGAAAGGAAGATCAATTTGGTGATTTGCTTGTCTCAAAGACAGAGCCTCCCAGGCACCAGGAGAGGCAGAACAAGAATCTTTTGGTGGAATATGCCTGCTAGGTTCAAGGAATGGCAAAGAAAAGAAAGAAAGGAAGGAAGGAAGGAAGGAAGGAAGGAAGGAAGGAAGGAAGGAAGGAAGGAAGGAAGGAGGAGGAGGAGGAGGAGGAGGAGGAGGAAGAAGAAGAAGAAGAAGAAGAAGAAGAAGAAGAAGAAGAAGAAGAAGAAGAAGAAGAAGAAGAAGAAGAAGTTGTTGTTGTTTTTCATGGTTGACCCAACAAGATGGCATCACCTTGACTTTTTGTGTTTTTGCCTTCCCTAGTTCATGCTCACAGTTAGCAGAGGACTAGAACAAGCAGTCAGACACTTGTAACTTTGTATCTAGAAATGTGTACCCTTAACCTCTGTGTGAAGTTAATGAATTCTATCTCCCTTTTGATGCCAGCAAGCATGAGCAAATGTCCAAATTGCTTTCACGACATTCCATGCTTAGAGTTTAATGGGTGTTGTATGAGGCCAAGGCCAACATTACACAGCTACTTCACAATTTCAATCTTCATTGATTCTTGTGTTAGAATCATAAGTAGCATTGAAATATTTGTAAAGTATGATTTTCTCCATTTTTACAATTAAAGATCATAAGTAATGATTTGGATAATTTACTTCAAAAGATACTTACTAAACTTTTGACAGGTGCTGCATTTAAATGAAAATTGTGTTTTATTTTTATATTATTCAGAATAACAAGGGACTTTCATATAAATTTTACTTTTTTTCTGTGAAGGACTCACTTAGATTTTTTCCCCCAGGAAGATAAAATATGTGCCAATTTACATTGGCATTCAAATTTCCACAGAAGGCTGTTCCTAGAATAATCCTTTAGTAATTCTAATTCAGGAGGCTAGAGAGGAAGCCAAGCAGATCCACATCTGCAGGAAACATTAAACAAGGAAGTCTGTAGTCAGGTTCCTACCGAGAGGACAAATTTAGTGTTAAGCAAATATACAAGATACTTTTAACATTTATTTTTAAAATAAAAGTGAGAAATGGTCCAACTATATAGTATCCACTTGAATTGCTTTACTGCATTTTTATTTATTGGGTAAAAAAGGTGTCTAAATATTATTAGGAGTAAGAATGTAGGTCTTAGAAGGAGATGCGTTAGCATAGCATCTACATGTTTAATAATGCATATGCACGATTAGGAGAAAGGAATTTAGAAAAATTATAAAAATCCCATAGCACTTAGCCTAGCTTTGTGTTTATTGAAATTTTCCCAGGGTACCAGTTCATATCCCTTGATGCTCAGCTCTTCCTCTCACCGATTCGTAGCTTTCCATTGCCATTGAAGGGACCAGGGTAGGCTATTTTTAAGGTGAGGGCTTGCCTTTGAAAAAGTATAAATATAATTATAGGTGATTTAGTAATGGGCATTTTTCATGCCCACCTCTTCCATGTTGAATCTTCTCCTGATTTCTATCAAGTTCCACACATTTGCACATTGCACTGTGAGTGCATAAACTGCCTTAATAGGAGTTGGTTGTGTCCCGTGGAAAGTGGGTGAGTTCGCTGGAATGGGTTGTTACGGTTAGTCTGACCGCTTTGGTTCTCTGGTTTCTTGCCCATCTACCTCCAGTAGGAGATCATGCAGCCAGAAGGCATGCACCAGATGGAGGCTCCTCAGCCTCGGACTTCGTCTTCTGTCTCAGTTTTAAGAACTAAATTTATTTTCAATTACCCTATCTCATATATTCAGTATAAGAGGCATATTTTTCCATCATCTGTCTTATGTACCATTTAATGTTGCAACTCCTGAGTCTCCCATCACTTATTAATTTTTTATTTAATTATCGCTCTCTCTTTCTGCCATTGCACATAACACTGGCACAGAGGCATCCTGTACATGTTGCTGCTGTCTCTTAAAATAGAAACATCCTTTCGTTAGGATTACTATGTTAAAGAATTTAAAGCTTTTTGGCTAATGCATTATAGTTCACTCTCCAGAAAGAATTATCCTCAAGAGAACACAACGAGTCCTAACCTTGTCCGGGAAGGGCAACGGAATTCTTCCGCATGCTGTTCTTAGTAGAGATGCAATTACGTATCTGGAGTGCTCTGATTTATACTTCTTTGCTAACACGTTAAAGGATTTGCTGTGTTATGAATTTCCTTTCCTACAGAGACATGTGTTACTTTTACTGTGCTGTTACCTGCCTCGTAGATGAAGTTATTTTTGTTTTCCAAATGGAACCTTTTAATGGCATTGAATCAGCTCTGTGGCTTTTTGAGTTCTGTTTTGTACCCATGCCAGTTACTGGTTACAGGCAATCAGAGAGCTTGCGACTGCAACTGAGATCTAAGTGTTCCTTTTATTTCTTACTGCAGCATCCTTCCATTTAGTGTGGCTGGTTAATTTGTTTGGGCTCATTATTCCCACCCCGCTTAACAGCCACCATTTCTCCTTTAACAAATAGAAATCAGTACCTTGCAAGTGTTACAAAGCCCTCAATATGTCTCTTATTGAGTCTACAAAGATCCTTTTCTCTTCGACTTCATTAGTATCTGGGAACCCATGAGTAGAAAGCTTCCTGAAAGAGCCCGAGATAAATGTTCACAAATTTTCTAGCAAAGACAAAGATTCTGAGATCATAGTGTGCCTCTTTAGGGACTTGTCTTTATTCTCGACTTGATCTGATTTTCAGTGGTGATTGATCCATGATATCAGTCTTGGTGCGGTTGTGCCAGCAAATGGTAAGTGACTTCAGTACAGGGCTGAGGACTTGACTAGCCTGGACTGTGTCTGATCAAATTCTGTGAAAAGGACCAACCTTTGTTCTCATGATTACGGGTGAGATTGAATTTCTTTAAGAATCAGGTCCTCCGTTTTTAGCTAACATCCCCGGCCTTTCCTCAGTGGAAATCGGCAGCTAAGCTGCATCATGATCCTCGTGAAGAACTGCCCACGAGTGTGAGAGGAACACAGTGCATGCCAGGGTCAGCGGCTTGCCGTTGTTAACACACAATACCGATGAACTTCGTTTTGCACACACAATCAGTATCTGATTATTTTCAGAATTAGTTATAGAATGCGTGCTCGCGCATGCATACACACACACAAGGGATCAAGCTTAAAAGGATCCATTTTCAAAATGTATCTATTAGTAGCTTGTTAGGAAGTTGAGATGCATTTTCCTAGTTAACATTCCAAGAGCTGCTTGGAGTCCCAGGGTCATCCCCTACCCTATACCCACCAACCGAAGCCAATTTATGTAATCACAGTATAGGACCCAAAGTACTTGTTACAGCATTTGTTAAGAAAATAAAAAATCCAGAAGGTGAAATACAAAACCAATGCCAAAGAAACCAATATTAGCAATGCCTCCAGCAGAATAGTTTTCATTTCAAACAGAGATAAACACTATGGTGATAAACAGTCACAAAAGCCCTCACCAGGGAAGACCAACTTACATTTCAACAACCACTTTGAGCTTGTGAAGGG